GGTCTGAGGTGTGAATGGTCATTAACATATCTTTTGTTTCCAAGGGTGGGAGAGGTCTGAGGTGTGAATGCTCATTAACATATCTTTTGTTTCCAAGGGTGGGAGAGGTCTGAGGTGTGAATCGGTCATTAGGATGTGTGACAAGCTTGGTAGGAACATCCTTGAAAACTTTTTCCATGCATTTTTCATGATGAAAAAAGGCTCTGTATGAGATTTGTATGAGATAGTACCAATCATCCCAGAACGGGAGAATTGTTAGATGGACAAGTACTAAGTCCACAAAAACGCAATTCAAACCGTCCAGCACATGTGAAGATCAGTAATAGAGATCAGCTGAAATAATGGCGCTGAAAGTCAAATGTTGCGGGAATTAACCCCGTGGATTTCCACTGATATGCAGACCTTAGTCGGTATATGCTTCAAATGGCACCGGGGTATAGAAGTGCCAGCATGTAAAAAATGTGAAATACGGCATAAATCATACATTGAAAGTCAAATGTTGCAGAGATAAAACCCCGGGAATACCTGGAAGTATGGCTCATCAATGGTGGGTGATGTAGCAAATACCAGCTGGGACTGGAACCATCCTAGACAAACGTTCACATTCACCAGCACACCATTCACTTTCTTTTGAGATGTAATCTTTTTGCAATAAAAACCTTTTTTGGACCATGTGACGGGAGTGACTTTTGGGGGTGGGGGGACCGCTTGGTCAGCTCATGTCCCCCTCATTATGTTTAACCCACCCTGTGCCTGTTAAGGGGTACAGGGTGTGAATGTCCCAGTATTGTGTATAGTGTGTGTTTCTTTGTCCCTGCCATGTGGTTGCCCATTGTCTACTGCCATGTGCTCCCCCCCCATGGTGCTGTGTCTTCCTGTCCAGCGAACTATTATAGGATGTACTGTTTGTGTATTGGTGTGGGGGTTGGTCAATGTCCTTTGCCACATGGTTTCATCCCATTGTTCTGTGTCTGGTTGGATGGGGAGGGATGATGAGGTGTTTCCTGCCTATACTGTAGCCCTTCCCACTGAGAGGGTGGGCTGATGATGTATTTCCTGTTCCTGGTTGTGTTTCCCCGCCCTCTGTATATATTCTGTGTTTTGTGTAAAATAAAGGTCGTTGGCTTCCTGTTTTAGTAAGAGCTGGGTGTTGTCTATTTTCCTGAGGGATTTCGAGGGTGTGGTCCGTGGATGGTGTTCGGACAGGGGAAGTTGTGCTATAACGGAAAAACTCAGTGCGGTCTGGGTTCCGGTTCCATTACAGACCATATTGGAGATCCATGGTGTGCTGGCGACTATGTACGTTGCCCTTGGTGAAGAGCCGCCCATTTTGGTTTCCCATTTGTGCCTAGTATTGCATTATTTTAGATTAGATCGCTATTTTCTTTTTTTTGTGTGGTGCTTCTGATCATTGAACAATGACTATACAAAGGAAGGAGGTTCTACATATTAATGGTGAGGGGTTTTTGTTTTTATAAAACCGTTTATCGAGATCCCAGCAAAAGGAATCCAATATTATACAAAGTACAGTAATGTGAGCGTGTTTACATAGTAGGGATTACATATAGAAACTGTAGGAAGCTTGTACAGGGATAACACAGCAAGGCCTCTCAGAATCTCAGCAGCATTCAGTACCCCAATACAACTGGCCTCTTGTGGTATACTACCAGCTCTGAATGGACCGATCTGGGTAAGAAGGCCATCTATATGGGACTGAACAGAGAGAGAGGGATTAAGATATCAAATAGCCAAACAGAAACCTGAACGGGAGGAGAACAAAGAAGAACACGTATAGGACCAAAAGGTAAGAGAAGAAAAGAAGAAAGGGAGAAAAAAAAAGGGGGGATGTGTCAAATGAGGGGGGACGTATCAGCTATGGTCTTCCCTTCCTACCCTCCAAAATGGTGGGGGGAGAGAAGTCCGGTTGTTTCCCTCCTGCAGGCGGGGGAGGTAAGAGTCACCCCAGCGTACAAGAAATGGCCAATGTCTGGTGTGGCATTTTATAGGTACGTTTTATATTGTGGTATGGTAACCTCTTCCCGCCCGGCCTATGGCCGAATGGTGGCCGGCAAAAAACCCTCACCTTTCTGGGTGGATGCCATATGGCGTCCTCCTGGGCATGCACAGTTTGCGCACCTGCAGAGCCGCGCAGCGGCGCAATCTCTCACCGGACGTGGACACAGCTAATGACAGATCTGAGTACCGGCCCCCGTTGTGACCAATCACAGCAGGTCACATGACAGTTGCATACAATGGATGGCTTCATTCACGCCATCCATTGTATACTAGTGTGTCTAGCTGTGAATGGTCACAGCGATCACATGCACAAGCTGGGCCAATCACAGCCCAGCTGTGTCATGTGATTAGCCGTGGCCAAATCACAGCTAAGCACAAAAAATAAAACCCAGAATGAATCGACGTCATTCAGGTAAGTGCTTAAGTAATTCTTTGCTATAAGCAAGTTGTGTAAAAAAAAACAAAAAACTGATCACTTCCCCAAAGTAGTACAATGTTACTATGGTAACATTGTACTACTTTGGTCATAGTGAAATATGAAAAAAAAATCTTAAAAAAAGAAAAAAATTAAAAACAAATTAAAAATAATAACAAAAATTAAAAATAAATTAAATTAGGACGTATTGCACCTCTGAAAATGATTATCCTACCCAAAATATTATATATATTTCGGACCCTCCCTATACCAAAGGTTTTTTTTTTAAATATTCAGAGACAAATCTTCCAATTTTTATGGGAATCAAAACGCCGTCGATGTGTTATGAATTGACTAATTCGTCCATCCCATAAAGGAGGAGCGGGTCCTCCTCATATACACCCATATTACTTGGCTACACTCCTTCACCAAATATATTTTTGGTGGTATCTGACTACAAAAAAAAAAATGTGGTCCGTTATAGAATCATCATTATTCCACCCCCTCTATCCGCAGAATCCCCTTATCCTATATATATAATCCAGATGCAGCACTCAAATAAATATTAAAGTGAAAAAGTGATAATAGGCACGCAAAATTATGCCCATCAAGTGGAATAAATGTGATGTCTTAATGAAGACGGTAGGTATTATAAAGTGACAGCAGTATATGGTCTCATGATAAAATATTACATTGCATAAAAGTCATATATAAATATATAAAAGTCCATTGAAGTATTCAAAAGGTGCATCAATATTCCAAAGTATGGAAGGTATCAATAATTCCCATTAAACTTGCATCAATGATAATAATAAGGTGACTTCCGTGAGATGGAAAAAGAGGTGTGCTGGTACTCGCCGGACCTACAATAATATTACACATGTAACATACAGGGCACTAGTGGTCATCTGGAACCCGATCGGGATGTGGCACTCCGATGGCGTTTGGTACACCCAGGGAATGAACTCCAGACCTCTCAGTGGACCCTCTCAGCTAGTGGGGACTGTTCACTGGTATTAATTACACCCCGGCATCAGGTAAGCTCAGCACCAATAGGAAATCCACCTTAAGTAGCTCAAGCGAGCCACCAGAACAAAGAGCTGATCTCGTGTAGAAGTTTTTTATTCAGCCAATGGTGATAAACACATATCAGGGCAGCATAATGTGACATCAGGTATATGGCGGGTGACAGCAAGTACAGGCAGGTATATAGCAGGTAAATAGAATGGGGCGTTCATGCATGAATATCCAGGAATATCCAAAATGGCCGCTGGCCTAACACGTGGCTACAGAATCCTTATCCTATGCTCGATAGACCATACACGACCCTTAATCATCCATCCATTACAGCTCCCCTAGCAGCTTGGTCCATGCCTCTCTCCCACAATACACGACCCTTAATCATCCATGCATTAATCCTCCCCTAGCAGCTTGGTCCATGCCTCTCTCCCACAATACACGACCCTTAATCATCCATGCATTAATCCTCCCCTAGCAGCTTGGTCCATGCCTCTCTCCACAATACAACCCTTAATCACTGAAGCTAGTTCAATACCTGTCCCCATTCATTCCTTAACCATTTGCCTCCCCTAGCAGCAATGGCCGTTTGGAGGCCGCAAAAACGCTTCAGCTTTCCCGGGTGCACGCCATTTGGCATGCCTCTCTCCCACAATACATACGCATCATCGCGCGGGTGCAGAGCCTCCCGCAGCGGCGCGATCTGGCACCGGCCGTATACCTCGGACACGGCCGATGACAGATCTGAGTATACACGACCCTTAATCATCCCCCATACACGACCCTTAATCATCCAATTACCTCATCCCCTAGCAGCTTGGTGGTACCATGTGATCCTGCTGTGACCAATCACAGCAGGTCACATGACAGTTGTCATTCCTTACAATTTGCCGCCCGGCCAATGGCTTCAAAAACGCTTCAGCTTTTCATGCATGCTCCCACCATCCATTGTATACTAGTGGCTAGCTGTGAATGGTCACAGCAGGTCCAATCACATGCACATGTCATGTGATTAGCTGTGACCAAATCACAGCTAAGCACAAAAAAAAAAAAAACCTGAATGAATCGATTTCATTCAGGTAAATGCTTGCTTATAGCAAAGTAATTCTTTGCTATAAGCAAATTGTGTAAAAAAAAAAATATTGATCACATCTCCAAAGTAGTACAATGTTACTATGGTAATATTGTACTACTTTGGACATGGTGAAATATGAAAAAAAATTCTTAAAAAAAATTAAAAAAAATGTAATAAAAAATTAAAAATAAAAAAAAAAAAAAATTAAAAAAAATCTATATTTTTTTTTTTCATACTGTCACCGCCATGCTAGTTATATGATGATGCTGTACTGCACTGGTGACAGTATGTTAAAAAAAATAGTGAAATTTTTTTTTCTCATTTTTTCATTTTCCAAAAAATTATGACAAAAAAAATACAACTTCAAAAAACTTGACATTCCTCTTATGAAGTACGTTGGACTGTCTACTCTGCAAAAAGGGGTCATTTGGGGGATATCTGTACTGTCCTGACATTTGGGGGATCTCTGTACCGTCCTGACATTTGGGGGATATCTGTACTGTCCTGACATTTGGGGGATCTCTGTACCGTCCTGACATTTGGGGGATATCTGTCCTGTCCTGTCCTGACATTTGGGGGATATCTGTACCGTCCTGACATTTGGGGGATATCTGTACTGTCCTGACATTTGGGTGGGGGATATCTGTACTGTCCTGACATTTGGGGGATATCGGTACCGTCCTGACATTTTGGGGGATATCTGTACTGTCCTGACATTTGGGGGATCTCTGTACCGTCCTGACATTTGGGGGATATCTGTCCTGTCCTGTCCTGACATTAGGGGGATATCTGTACCGTCCTGACATTTGGGGGATATCTGTACTGTTCTGACATTTGGGGGATATCTCTACTGTTCTGACATTTGGGGGATATCTCTACTGTTCTGACATTTGGGGGATATCTGTACTATTCTGACATTCTTGGACCTCAAGAAATTAGATTGGCTGTCAGTACTTCAGGATTGATCAATATTCAGATCTATACCATACTCTATAACTTTCCTACAAACTAAATAATACATCTAATTTGGGTTATTTTCAGCAAAGACATGGAGCAGAATACATCTCGGCCTAAATTTATGAAGAACAATTATTTATTTGTAAATTTTTATAACAGAAACAAAGAAAAATGTGTTTTTTTTTTCAAAATGTTTGGTCTTTTTTTGTTAATTTAGCAAAAAATAAAAACCCCGGCGGTGATTAAATACCACCAAAAGAAAGCTCTAGTTGTGTGAAGAAAATGATTAAATTTTAGTTTGGGTACAGTGTTGCATGACCGCGCAATTGTCATTCAAAATGTGAAAGCGCTGAAACCTGAAAAATGGCCTGGGGGCAGGAAGGGGGTAAAAGTGTCCGGTATTGAAATGGTTTAAATTCATTCATGCCCAATGTCATCCTAAACATGAGGGTACAATGTAATATAAACTTTATTCTAGATCTCTATTCAGCATCCTTTCAAGTTCTCCAAAACAAATTTTCGTTGCCCACAGCAGAATACTTTAACTAGCTGAGAATTGTCCACCGTATCCGCTGTAAGAAGATTCCACCGACCTCTACACCTCTGACCACAGGGCTCCAATACTGACACAAGTCTACATACCCAGGAAAGGGGATCTCCCTGTTCTACTCCCATCTCACCAACCATCCATGAGAACGTCATCCTTACATAACTGGGAACGGACACTTTGCCTATCCTCCTCAGACCAAACTTGGAGTAAGACCTTCACCCTCACACACACATCTTCCCCATGTGCTATGCATTGGGAATCGTATCTAAAAATCCTCCATCAATGGTACTTAACTCCCATCCGACTCGCAAAAATGTATTCTACTCCTTCCCCACAGCGCCGGTGTCAATGCAGAGAAATCGGTTCCCTGCTACACTTATTAGGGTCTTGTAAATCTTTACAATGATATTGGAAGAGTATTTGTGATCTAATTTATGAAGTAATAGTCTGCACAGTGCGCCCTGACCCGTCCCATATTGTAATAGTCTGCACAGTGCGCCCTGACCCGTCCCATATTGTAATAGTCTGCACAGTGCGCCCTGACCCGTCCCATATTGTAATAGTCTGCACAGTGCGCCCTGACCCGTCCCATATTGGTCTGGATACCTGTCTCCTAAATCCCCTGTATCCTTATCCATATACTATTTGCTGCCAAAAATAACATCACCAGACTATGGAGATCGCTTACATCCCCTTCAAAAACAATGGTGAGAAATGCTATAAATGACCAATGTGATATGGAAAGGAGATTTGCCATTTCCAACTTATCATACCCCAAATGTGCTTCTTTTGGCATCAATGCGTCACTCAAGCCCAACTGTAAAGTTAAAATTTGATGACTTACCCTCGTTGGAGTCTGAAATCCTTGCTGACTGACATGTTCTCATTCTTTAACCTTATAGTTCAGACAGGTGTTCCCATTCATGCTATACATCCTGCCCCTCCCCTCTCCTACTACCCCATTCATGCTATATCTCCTGCCCCTCCCCTCTCCTACTACCCCATTCATGCTATTGTCTCCTGCCCCTCCCCTCTCCTACTACCCCATTCATGCTATATCTCCTGCCCCTCCCCTCTCCAACTACCCCAATTCATGCTATATCTCCTGCCCCTCCCCTCTCCTACTACCCCATTCATGCTATATCTCCTGCCCCTCCCCTCTCCTACTACCCCATTCATGCTATATCTCCTGCCCCTCCCCCCTCCTACTACCACATTCATGCTATATCTCCTGCCCCTCCCCCCTCCTACTACCCCATTCATGCTATATCTCCTGCCCCTCCCCTCTCCTACTACCCCATTCATGCTATAATCTCCTGCCCCCTCCCCTCTCCTACTACCCCATTCATGCTATATCACCTGCCCCTCCCCTCTCCTACTACCCCATTCATGCTATATCTCCTGCCCCTCCCTTCTCCTACTACCCCATTCATGCTGTATCTCCTGCCCCTCCCCCCTCCTACTACCCCATTCATGCTGTATCTCCTGCCCCTCCCCTCTCCTACTACCCCATTCATGTTGTATCTCCTGCCCCTCCCCTCTCCTACTACCCCATTCATGTTGTATCTCCTGCCCCTCCCCCCTCCTACTACCCCATTCATGCTGTATCTCCTGCCCCCCCTCTCCTACTACCCCATTCATGTTGTATCTCCTGCCCCTCCCCCCTCCTACTACCCCATTCATGCTATATCTCCTGCCCCTCCCCTCTCCTACTACCCCATTCATGTTATATCTCCTGCCCCTCCCCCTCCTACTACCCCATTCATGTTATATCTCCTGCCCCTCCCCCTCCTACTACCCCATTCATGCTATATCTCCTGCCCCTCCCCTCTCCTACTACCCCATTCATGCTATATCTCCTGCCCCTCCCCTCTCCTACTATCCCATTCATGCTATATCTCCTGCCCCTCCCCTCTCCTACTACCCCATTCATGCTATATCTCCTGCCCCTCCCCCTCTCCTACTACCCCATTCATGCTATATCTCCTGCCCCTCCCCTCTCCTACTACCCCATTCATGCTATATCTCCTGCCCCTCCCCTCTCCTACTACCCCATTCATGCTATATCTCCTGCCCCTCCCCTCTCCTACTACCCCATTCATGCTATATCACCTGCCCCTCCCCTCTCCTACTACCCCATTCATGCTATATCTCCTGCCCCTCCCCTCTCCTACTACCCCATTCATGCTGTATCTCCTGCCCCTCCCCCCTCCTACTACCCCATTCATGCTGTATCTCCTGCCCCTCCCCTCTCCTACTACCCCATTCATGTTGTATCTCCTGCCCCTCCCCTCTCCTACTACCCCATTCATGCTATATCTCCTGCCCCTCCCCTCTCCTACTACCCCATTATGCTGTATCTCCTGCCCCTCCCCTCTCCTACTACCCCATTCATGTTGTATATGCCCCTCCCCTGCCCCATTCATGCTGTATATCTCCTGCCCCTCCCCTCTCCTACTACCCCATTCATGCTATATCTCTGCCCCTCCCCCCCTCCTACTACCCCTCTCCTGCCCCTACCCTCCTACTACCCCATTCATGTTATATCTCCTGCCCCTCCCCCTCCTACTACCCCATTCATGTTATATCTCCTGCCCCTCCCCCCTCCTACTACCCCATTCATGCTATATCTCCTGCCCCCTCCCCTCTCCTACTACCCCATTCATGCTATATCTCCTGCCCCTCCCCTCTCCTACTATCCCATTCATGCTATATCTCCTGCCCCTCCCTCTCCTACTACCCCATTCATGCTATATATCTCCTGCCCCTCCCCTCTCCTACTACCCCATTCATGCTATATCTCCTGCCCCTCCCCTCTCCTACTACCCCATTCATGCTATATCTCCTGCCCCTCCCCTCTCCTACTACCCCATTCATGCTATATCTCCTGCCCCCCCCTCTCCTACTACCCCATTGGCTATATCTCCTGCCCCTCCCCTTCCTACTACCCCATTCCCCGCCCGTGCCCCTCCCCTCTCCTACTACCCCATTCTTCTCTATATTCCCCATGGTTCCTGTCTTAAGTGATTCCAGCCCCGCCCGTCTTTCTCTATGAAAGTGTCTAATATTCTGCTGCTGCTGCTTGTTGGAATTGTCAATCACTATCGGAATCGCTTGTACAGCAAAGAACCAGTACTGTCTCTCTGTTCTTCTATATGTTGTTGTATTTGTTGAAAAACTTCAATAAAAATATTTGAATACAAATGATCACAGCTTACTAGTGATGGACCAAACCCCCCCCCCCCCCCCCCCCCCCCCCCCGTTTGGTCGAACATCTGAACATACAGAATGTTCGACCATGAACTTCAAACACAAACCGAACTGAGCGATATCTTCCTGCATCTGAGTATGTGGTGCGATCCCGCTCAGTGACTACAATCCGGAGAGAGTTCTATGATGAAGTCACGCGGTATTCTAGTAGAGACGTTCATTCATGTCTCTGCTGCCAGTGGGGTTCCCCGCTAACAGCTGAATAGAAAAAGAATTGTTGGCATTGCCCGACAATTAAATTTATTCTTTTTTCAAAATGCTGTGGGGTCCCCCCCTTCCATTTATACAAAGCCCTTCAGGTCTGGTATGGATTTTGAGGGGAACCCCCATGCCACAATAAAAAAAAAACAAAAATGACATGGGGGCCCCCCCCAAAATCTATACCGTACCCTTATCAGAGCATGCAGCCTAGCAGGTCAGGCAAAGGGGGGATAAGCGAGCGATGATCTGCTGTAATCTATAGCAACCAATCAGTAACAATAATGATATACTGTAACCTCTAGCAACTAATCAGCAAGTGAAAATGATGTGCTGAAACCTCTAGCAACCAATCAGTGAGCAGTAATGATGTTACTCTGACCTGCAACCCCCCAATCAGGGTCCAATACTGTCCCCTAAGGGTAGCCTTACAAGCCTCCCAAGTAGTATGAGGTGCTGCAGTATCCTCATTAAAGTCCCAATATTGCTCCAATGCCTTCCCTATAGTGGGTTTTACATCAGGATCAGAAATCCAGAACCTCTAGCAACCAATCAGTGAGTGGTAATGATGTGTTGTAACCTCTAGCAACCAATCAGTGAGTGATATTGATAAGCAGTAACCTCTAGCAACCAATGGATTAGCAGTAATGATGTGCAGTAATTTCTAGCAACCAATGGGTGAGTGGTAATGATGTACTGTAAGTCTAGCAACCAATCAGTGAGCGGTAAGGATATGCTGTAATCTTTAGTCTGGACCAAGTGGGTGTTGGACCAAGCAGGAATTGGCCAAGTGGGCGGGGCTTTACCAGTTTACGGATGTTTGGAGGTGGAAAAATCCTGAGACCAGGGTCTATACCTGTCACTCGGTATCGCACAGAACATTGTCTAGAACTGATCTTTGTTATGTAACACCTGCGCTTTTGGTGAGGG